CCGGTTCAAATCGAGCAGATTCTATTCATACAGACAGTAACACAATAGATAGCACATTTTTCAAAGATCTTGATCAAAAGATGGGTGAAAAATTACGTGCAACAATAACAAGACCTAACACAAGTGCTATGCTAGCAAGTTTACCGTCAGATACAGTATCAACATTGAGTAGTTATGATCCAATTGATGAACTTGATGCAATTATTGATAATGAAGATTTAGATTTAACATTTCATGATCCATTAGATGACTTTTATGAAGATAATGATATGCTTGAAGTAATGAATCCAAACATTAAATTACCAAGACCAAATGTTGACTCTAAACCAACTGGTCTTTTCTCGGTATAATCAATAATTATATAGTTCATACATTTATATATATATATTATCTTTTCTTTTAGTTTTTTTAAAGAAAAATAAAACCAATATGTTTCGTTCGGTGCTGATCGCTTTATATTATTTATTAACTGGTGATAAAACGATCTTTATTTTTTGATTTATCTTAAACAAATTTATATTATCTTGTATCTTTTTTTTAATACTGTGAACCTGAATGTTTTTTTTTGTGTGGTCACAATAAATAAAATTTCTCAAAAACTGATTCAAACATAGCAGTGGATCATTGGAGACGTCGATCGAGAAACTGTTCCACTTTAAGGAGAAATTGTTTACCCCAACAAAAGCAACACATTAAGGAAAAATGGAAAGCACGAAACCGACATCTATTCAATGAATTATTCGATACTCTACCTTTATACACCGCTAAGAGAAATTCTTTTTATTTTAAACAGACATCAAAAAAACCTGAATATATACGAATTCAATATGTAAATCAATACGATATCCATATTTTCATTTTGAGAGAAATCCTTTTTTCAAGTTCTATTTTTCCTTATGAGTGGAGATATGGATAAACCATTTCACCTTATTTTTAATTCATTTCTGCTGATAAGAAACCAAATCTGCTAGAATATCCTCTTAGGGTGATAAAAGAAATAAACCATATCTCTATTTTCTTTCTTTCATATCTCCTTATGAGTGGAGATATGGATCAACGTTTGGACCTCGAATTGTTTCGACCTGTATGGGAAAAAATATCCCCTTGACTTTATGTGGGTAAAGAATTTCTCCTTGAACTGGAACATTTTCTCTCTTTTAAGGGATATGGTCCATCCCTCTTTAAACAAGAAGAAGCAGTTAGATAGATCATATATCAAGTCAAGGTTTTTTACAAAATATTTATGCAGAATAAAAGAAGTCGAAATTCAACCTTATTCCTCAGTCAACTGTCACGTACATATGTTCATTTGATATATTTTACTTTGACAGAACGTAAAAGAAATGTTATGAATATGACTAGCAATCAATTTTTTTTTTGTTATATAAAAGAAAAGTTCAAACATAGAAGTATAAACGAAATTATATGTTCTAGAATATTATTTCCGGTCAATATAAAAATAATATTCCCTGATTAAGATTTCAATAGAAATAAAATTTAAGTACGTCAATGTATATACATCGTTATGTAGTCATGACAAATAAACATGATAATATACAGAGAATTTCATAATTATTTTCATAGCGTTTGAAAAGTAAGTATGACGAAAGAATATCATCTAATATTAGTCAGTAAATTATAAAATCATTGTTTTCGTGACTTTTAGTTGTTTTTACTATTTTAACAGTAAGCATTTGATTCATTCTTTTTTTCTAAATGTTTACTGTTGTGAAAGCTTATTCACTGAAAAACAATATTTCGAAATGTATGTCTTATTTTTTCAATATTTTTCTTTCCAACTAAAATATGAGTCGTCAGTTCAAGCGAATAATCACGTTTTTTTTTAAAAACTACTTACAGTATATTTTGTTAATATACTATTGTCTGTTATTGAATCAATTATTAACAAATATACTTTACCTCTTACATCCCATTACGAATTTTTTTCTCCTATTGTTCTTTGTTCGTTTTTACTTTTTATAAATCAATCAGTCGGTAGTAGAATGTCTCGATAAATATCCTTTGGATGCACTTAGACATTTTTTTCTTTCTAAATTTCAATAAACCACACAACTGTATGGAATTTTTGTATATATTTTATATTAATCAAGCTAATGATATTCGAACTATAGTTAATTATTGTTCGATGTTTTATTTATGATTAATCATTTGTATTCAAATTCTTTTTTCTCACTTCTTAATTTGTATGTTTCATTAAAAAGGAGAATGTTATTTTTTCTATGCACTTGTATACATAGGCATCGAAAAATAAATGGTGAAGTTATGTAAACTTTATCAAAAAGACGTAAAAAATATTTTTTTGATCTTCGAAGAAATTTAACAGTGAAAAATTTTTTTTTTAGTATTGATATATGAATAAATAAATTTAGTGTGACATACATTGATGAAAATTATATATAATTATTTAATTTTTATTTAAAAACCTATCGTCTACATCATAAGTAAAAAATTTCCTTTTCCTTTTAATTGAGTTTCAAATATGATTATTTTTCTCCCTAAAAAACATTTGATTTATTGAAGAAAAATATTGTTTTCATTGTATTCAGTGGCAAACACTTGAAACCTATTCAGTCTTATTCAAATAGAAGTTTTATATAGAAGAAAAAGTTCATTAACTGTTTCGTTTTTCGAATTTTGCAAAAGAAAAATTTGGATAAAAAAATATATTCGAAGGTAAATTTAGTTTCCTTCACAATATCATTGTCATCTATCAGCAATAGTATTGCATTTCATATGTAATTATATGTTAGATTATTGTTGTCAATTTATATACTTAAAACTTTCTCACACCTCTATCAAATTACGATATATGAATTGGTACTCTAGAAAAAAAAATATCGAAGTCGCATGAGATTTTTCGTTTTTTGCTACGATTGTTATTGTTATTGGTGTTGAATGTATTCATCTGGAATCATTTGTGTTGATTAGATTTTTTTTTCGCTTCTTGCGTCTTGTACTTTTTTCATATGAAAAAAAAAGAAAGTTTTATTTTTCTACCATAATTGGATGAAACGCAAAAACAATCTTGTCATGATGGTAAGGTACTTCATTGGATAATTGTGAATGTTTATTTTGGTGATGAAAACGAAAATTGTTAATGCTTATGGATAGTTATATACGCATGATTCCATTTTCTTTTATACTATTTGCATATGCATTGGATTAACTGCAAACAATTCAATGAATTTATTACCTGTATTGCGCCATATCCCTCGATGATCGTGCTCTTCGAGACACAGTAGAGGTGCTCAAGGTTATAGCGTGACTATATATTGACTTAATATTCGAGAAGATTATACGTATAGGATATATGAATATGAATAACCAATCGATTTATCGTTAATATATAATTTTTAATTACAATTTTTCTTTTCTGTATACTCACCTACTCTCATAGCTGACTGAAAATTATATTTCAAGTGGACTGATTGATTAGTTTTACTGCAATTCTTCTCATGTATATTATTATACATATAGTAAAGTTTTTTTCTCCTAGCTTGTCAACACTTTAACATAAACTTAAATTGTATGTCGGCACAAGTGCGTGTAATAAAAGTTAGAGAACAGAATAAAAAAAAAATTTATCGATGATTGTTCAATCGACTTTTTAAAAGAATGAGAGAAAGAGTAACTAAATAATCTTCAGCGCTTTTTAGACTTCTCTTATGTCTATAATGATGTTCACTGGAAAGAATGAAGTTAATATAGGCTTCTATGAAAGAAAGTATTTATGTATTCAAAATATGATGAAAAAAAAACCTACTAAATAAACTTTGCATATAAATGTTCGTTCATTATAAGTTTCTTGATACATTCTACAAAAAAAAAAAACGATAAGATATACTTGAATTAAATAAGCATTTTATTTTACGATAGAATAAGTCAGACGAAATTTTATTCTTAATTTACAGTTATCTTTTATTCATTTAATATTTTTTTTTTGTATTCCTTCAAAGAAAATAAAACAGACATAGGACAAATCAAATGATGTATATCATGACTATCGAAAGAAAATATCCTAGATGATTAATGTTTAATGACAAAAAATCTCAATATTATGCATAGACAGAAGGAAATGAAGTATAAAAAACAAAATAGTAGTAAACTTTACTTTCGAATCAATGTCGAAGGTGTCAAGGGGATGTTTTCTCTCTCTCACTCTCTCTCTCTCTTCTTTTACCTCATTCTCTCCCAGTTTTACGTGAGGATCATATATGAAAGAGGAAGAGAAAGAGTCGCATATATTCGTTTATATTTTAATGGCACGACAGGTTTTCTAGAAACATATTTTACTCGAGGTTTGATAAACAGCATCGTCTACGACGATAAAAGTATGTGGGTGTGATTACATGCACACGTTTATGCATTCAAATCCAAATACACTCTTATGTACAAATCAGTCACAAAGAAACAAAATTAGTCACAGAATGAAGAAAAGTTTTTTTTTTACCTCTTCCTCTCTTTCTTTCAACTTTTTTACTTTCAACTTGAATTCAACTAGTCGTTTTCATTCATTCATTCATTCAAATTCTGTTTTATTTGCTCTCACATTCTCTTTTTTCTTTTCTGTATTTTTTTCCGTTCATTTTTCTCATTGTTCTTTGATCTCTTTCGTAAATTTTTTTTCTGGCATACATACAAAATAATCATCATTCACCTCCCTTTTTTTTTGCTATTCCATTGCATTATTTTCGATTACATCAGTTTCTCATAAATTATTTTCAATTGTTTTAGATTGTTGTTAGATTATGAACTTACAACATATCGTCGATTCAATACGACTACTAGTAGTCACTTATCTTATATCTTTGATCACAATTGTACCTTTACTAAATACTGTTGAAGGTAAGAACGCTTTACTATTTTATATGTAGATATATAATAAGAAGTTGTAAATTACGTATATATGATTATGTATACATACAATACAGTTTATTCTTCCAGCTATTTCTATTGTTTCTAAAATATATAAACATGTCTATATATACATTCGAAGTAAAAATTTCATAAGAATACTTTTCTAAGAGTAGTATTAGCAATGTTATTGAACTACTCATTGATCTAAGCCTTTTTCTTTTTAAAAGAACAACAAAGAATTAACTTTTTTGAATTTAAATCTTTTGTCAATTATATATTATAATACTTAGGTTCACACGTCAAAACTTATGGTTGGTCAAATGCATATAATCCATTTCTTTACTCAGACTTAACAGGAACAATACGAGAATTAACATCGAACGATATTAGTGATGATACGGATAAACGTTTTCAGCCACCATTGGATATAGATAATGAAAATATACAACCAGTTGATGAAGGTTATCGTTTAGCAAGTACTGATAATATTGTTCCTGCACGATCGGTATCAATT